TCGAATAGCCTCCTACTCGATTTGACTAAATTCATTTGCAGCCCTAATCAACCATCATTGAATATTTTTGTAGTTTTCATTGTAAATTTTTGTTGTAACATTTATTTAGGATTTTATAGTACCTTCTATTCATAACTTCGTGGTACCCTCCCGTTTAGGATATTGTAGTCAAAAAGATCTAATAACTTAGATAATTAAAAATATTGACTCCACCATTAACAATCATGTTAATAGAAAAATTGTTTAGGTGAAGTATACTGGAGCTAGGCATCAATTCATAGACATATTTAGTGAGCCCTTATCTGAAGAACAATTTTGTTAAAGTTAGGATACAGCTTAGTATGATAGATCTTAAAAAATTAGTCATTGGATTGTATTTTTTATATTCCTAGAATAAACCTATAATTATTAAACGATGTTTATGACATCATATAAAAAATTCCTATTTTATTAAAAAATTATTACAACAAAAATGATATGTTATTCTATGTTTATCACAATAAATTGCATTATAATAAATAATATTCTTAGTTAAAGAGACTCGCGATTGTTATATTGAGATATGTGATGACGAACGTGATCCTATATGACCAAGCGAATCTGTAAGGCTCCATAGGTGGACCTGCATGACTACACCCTCTTAGAATTTGTCTAGTGATTTAATGTTCTAGAACTGGGGGTTGAAACACTATTTTTCATCTTCACCTCTCTCTCATTTTTCCTCACACAACATTGCTAACACTATCAAAGCTTTTCAAATTACATTTTAGGTCCATCCTAAAATAAAACTAATTCTGAATTTCAATTTTTCTCACGAAAATAACTCACTTCCTGACCATCTTTCTCAATATTTTTCATCTTATTCATTGTTTATCTTATTATACCTTCACTAAGTTTCTTTTTATTTGATAGTGTTTATATATTCTTTATCACTTACTTTATTTTTTTTTATTATAGCCAGTATTGAATTGATTTTCTTCCTTTCTTGATATATCAGTTTGAATTATTTATTAATATCTTTCTTCTCATGTTGTACCTCTGTACTTGATTGTATAAATGACTCTTGATTTCGGTATCGACTTTTTGCATTCTATTAAACATTGCCTAAGAGGGATAAATAATAAAGTGTAGTATGTGAACATATAATGGAGAAATTAAAGTGCTATAATGGGTTTATGACTTGATACTTGTTTCTATCCTAACACATAAATTTGAGTCATCCAACCATTTAAATTTATATAATCTTGCAATGATTAAACGCAAGATTACTTGCATCTCACCTTAAGTTCCAAAAATAAAGATTTATCATCATGAAAAATAGGAGATTGCTAATAAGCACAAATTTGATTTACATTTTATTTTGATGATGATAAATGTATATTTGTGAGTATTTATGGTCTATTGACTATTAGGGTGGTAATAATCCACAAAGTATTAGTAAGAATTTCAAAGCTTGTGACTCAGAAATTCAATGTGGAATGCATATTCATTATGACTGTGAGCTCAAGGCATAGATTAACTATTATAAGTTTATTTTAGTTATTTGAATTGATCGAGTAATGTTAAGAAAAAATTGCAGTTAAGAAAAACAAGAAACACAATCAAAATTTCTTCAGAAATATGCTTATGCAGATATATAAACAAAATCAATATTTAGTCAAATTATTTTACATATTCTGTGAGCATTATAAGTTTCATATTAATAGCCATTCTTTATTGTATGACCTAAAAATCATGTGACAATGTCAGCGCTGCAAGTCTACTGCTATATAATCTAACACATGTTGCTTTTAGCAAAGGGAGGCAAGTGGCAATGCAGCTGCACCCTTATGGCAATGAGGGTTGTTGACCGATTATCAATAGTTAGTTTCTTTATAAGTTCTAAATAGTTTGAAGTGTTGGAGACATGGGTAAGATGAATTTGACCTTATTTGTGCCTCTTCTTCCCTATAAATATGAGATTAACCTCTCAAAAGACTACTGATAAAGACCCGCTACACATTTCTGAAGCGTTCCAAGGGTGCATTTGAATCTTCATTTGCCAATAATTTCCATTTCTTCCTTTATTAATCCTAGCACTATATTTCATTCAATCCAAAGCCAGATCCATGTGAGTTTCATTGTCAGCTAGTCAGCACAACTTGTTTAAGCAAACAAGCTGCAACAAGTCCGAGTGTAGCATCTCAACAACCCTTCCAAATACACTGTAGTTATATCTTAACAAGAACTTCGAAAAAAAATGCATTTCCAAACCATGCTCCTTACTAACATTTTGAAAAAGAGATGGGACCTTAAGGCTTTATTTGGTTTGAAATTAATTTAAAAAGAAAAAATAAACGTGAATTGGCTAAGGATCCATAACCATTGAATTTAAGGTTTTAAACCTTTATGATTGTTTTCTTTTTTTCATTTCCTTTAACTCAAATTCCTAGCATCTAAACATAGCGTAAGATTCTTGGTCGGCTAAACAAGAAAAAGAAATCGTCCCTAGTAACCACACCCTGGTTAAATTCCAAAAATGTTTAGCTCCCAAAATCAACTTTACGCCTTGATTTATTAATTTAAAACATAAAATTGGCTCCATGTTTGAAACTTTCAACGGAGGGAAGGGAAGAAATCATCAACACTTTCCAAAAACACAGTGACTTCATAGTTTTCAGCAAATAATATAAGAGTATATTTGTTAGCCTTTACGTTTATGAGCAGCTAAAAACAGCCATTGGTCAATGTTTTCACTCGACAAGAATCAAACAGAAATTGAACACTGCTCCTAAGATGTTCAAGAAGATAATTAATAAGAAAGCAGGGCGGGTCACGCTATTGTGTAGAACCTAATAATTAAAGGAGGAAGAGAGGCGCTAAGCAAAAACTGCAGTTAAATGTAAGACATGATAGTCCACAATCATGAGTTAGCATAAATTGAGTGCATTTATAATTTAATTTACATTTTAAAAACTCAATACTTGGAAGGATTGATTGAAAACATTTAATGGAGATAAGACAGCATTACAGTTAATCAAGTATGTGATCTTCAATAAGATAAGAAGAAAATTGTCTCAAAGCGCTCTCTTGAAGTTATATAGACATGAACAGCAAAAGCAAGGTGGCACACTATTGTTTAGAAGATAATAATTAAAGGAGGAAAAGAGGTGCTAGGCAAAAACTGCAGTTAAATGCAAAATATGGCAGTCCACAATCATGAGTTGGCATAAATAGAGTGCATTTATAATTCAATTTACATTTTAAAAAGTCAATAAGGCTTGTATTTCAAAAATTCAATATTTGGAAGGATTGATTGAAACATTTCATGGAAAAAAAACAGCATTACAGTTAATCAAGTTTGCGATCACATAAATGTAACAACTAGCGAATAAATCAACAACCCATCCACACATTATCCCTGGCAGCTTTCTTCGTTATAAAAAATTTGAGAAAATTAAGTTTTATTATTTTCAAGCAAGGTGGAGCATAAAACTAGGAAACCACAAAATGATATTTCCCTTGGTAAAGAATGTTCAAGAAAGATTCCTGTACTGCAAAGCACATATTATGTAGCGCTCCTATAGAAATACTTGGTTGTGAAATCATACAGAAACTATTTCATGACGAGGAAGAATTATTTTCGTAGAATCTGAAGTGCCCTATCCTTTCCAATTTCACCATTCCAAATATCATCATTAGCCTTATCACAAGAACTGAGGCCTGCTTTAAGAACCCGCACTCTCCATTCTTTCCAATTAATTGTTGCATGGCATGTTAACTCTATTTACACGATAATTTTGCATACCTAAGGATTGTGTTACCTTTAGTCAACCTTTTTTTACCTTCCTAATCTCTCCATATTAATTTTGTCAACAATTTATTTTATGCATTCTATAGGTTTATGCATTCTATAGGTATTACATTCTATCATGAAAATATTATCATTTTCAATCTATCTCAACCAGCTTCATCACAGAAAAAATATTACCATTCTCGTGGTCATCATCCCCGTAGTAAGAATCGTTATACTATTGCATTCCTAAACTACAATGAAGTTTGATATTACTAACTCCACATAGTTTTTGTACTCCAACCTAGGAAAAATCAATTCCACAGGGCGGGGCAATCAAAGTTTCTCCAATCTGAGGAAGCATTTTAGGAGATATGCATAAGATGATGTGTTCAATCACAGAATAGCATAATTTTACTAAAGTAGTTAGTATGCCCTATTCTTCATGAGCTGACCAAAACAAATCATGTGAAAGTTCACTACGACACTAAGGGGCTGTCTGGTAACGGATAAGTGTGATTTAACTTAAATCTACTAGATAGCAAAAAAGGGCAAATTTGAAGTCATAGATTTAGTAAATTCAATTTCTTCTCAATCCTCATTTTTTTCCTAGATCTATATTTTCTGGCAGGATTTAGTAAATCTAGTTTTACAGGATTACTAAAGCTGTTACCAGACAGCCCTTAAATATCTCTAAGCATATACAGAAAGATTGACAATCAAAATCCTTTATTCTAACTTGAGAATAAGCACAAAATCTATGTTCCAAAGCTCATTCACTACAACCTTCACAATAAGAAATACAAGAAAACAGTATGTTTTGCCAATGCTCACTTCCAGAAATTATCACTGGAATCAAGCAATCATACAGCACTCTCGAGACACAAGCATCATCCAATCTTATATGAGCATTTCAAGAAGCATGTCACCAAATTTTCAGTCAATACAGTTGACCCACAACCAAAAAACCAATGCCCTAGAAAAATAACACCAAACAAACCACATAAAGCCATCATAAAACTGTGTCCAATCTGAACTCTCGTGAAACTTTTTTCCAAAACAGCAAAAAATCACGCCAATTACTGTTATCACACACGGCAAGGCATGTCGCATTGTTGCTCCATTAAATCAAAAGAAACAGCAGAGGATGAAAATTCTAACATATAAAAAGTAATAAACGAGATGCATATCGTTGATTGATGGAAAGTAGTTTCAATGGAAGCCTTACCTCAAAGGGGGTGACAATGACGAGGGCCTCAAGTACACCGGCCCCGAAACCGGACATCAATCTGCCACGTTGGGACAAATCTCCCGTAGCCGAATCCTTGAACGCGGACTGGAAGAGAGCATTGGAGCCCATTCGGAGGGCATACTTGAGAGTGAGGTGAGTGGCGAAGGGGGTCAAGCCTTTCCAAAGCGCACGAACGCCCTCCGTCCGTGCTACTGTTTTCCCGCAGTCGGCGATTCCGCGGTACGCGCCGCTATGATCCAGCTGCAGCCTTGTCTTGATAACGTCGATCGGTTGAAGACAACACGCCTCCATAATCCCACCAATAGAACCGGATATCGCCCTCACGTAAGGTGGGATCGACTCCTTCTTCCCGCCGACCGAAGCCCCGACTCCATTGCCGGCAGGAGCTCCCATTAATGGGAGCGGAAAATTTGACCGCGGATAAGGCTACGGCGTCGTAAGAAGGCAGTGAAATTCCAAAATACTGTTGAATTTTGTAGCATATTTTTATGACTATTGGCAGCATTCTATTAATAGATTAAATCAATTTTTTTTCACCTTCTATTTTCTTTTCTCTTTTTCTATATTTGAATTTAATAAATTCAATTGCAAGTCAGATTTAAGAAATTATTCCTTCATTTGCTCTAGCTCCATTTAAGCTCTTGATATTCATTAGACTTATCGGATTTAATAAATCCTAGTTGACGTAAATCCTTGTTGCCGCCAAACACCGCCTAGAGCTATCATCAAAGCATAATAATCAAGTTTATTAGGGATAGTCGTTAGTATACATGTTAATGACGAAGAAATATTGTCTCAGTACTACCCACGTAGAGTTACGTGCGTAGTACAATCAAATGCCGCCACGTGAAAAAGTCGGGCCCACCGACGAAATCAGGCTAAATGAATACACAAACCCGGCCCGACCGAAACCCAAACAATTTCCCGCCAGCATAAAAATATTTCATGCCTACGTACTCTTCTATTGCAGCTGAAGAAATATTTTGGTGGATGTCTCCAGGAACATTGAGATGATGGAGGAATTACACCCATCATTCAGCCTGGACTTTGAAGATCAAGTGAGTTTGTAATGATCTCTAGTTTTATGTTAGATTAGGGTTGTCCTTGTGTTTGTGGTATTGTCATTTTGTTTGGGGTGTTTATATTTATAGTTTACTGGTATAGTTCTTGGAAGGCAGCAATATTTTTGTTAATATGGTAAAATTTTTGGTGTTTTACTGCTGCGATTTTTGTGTTATTATGGTGTTAAGCTTGTTTTTGTGTTACTCTTGTATTATTCTGGTGTTACACTAGTATTACTCCAATGTTATGTTGGTTCTTGCCTTTGATTTAGTATTGTTGCTGTGGTATAATAGTTGGTTTAGCCTAATGTAAATGTTGGTGTTGATGTAGTGTTATTGGGTGTTGTTGTACAATGTTGTTATTTGTGTTATAATTATATTTTTTTTAGTTATTATGGTTGTTAAGCTTGTGTTTGTTTGGTGTTACTCTTGTGTTATTCTGGTGTTACTTTGGTATTACTCCAATGTTATATTACTTCAATGTTATGTTGGTTCTTGCCTTTGTTTTAGTATTGTTACTGTGGTATAATAGTTGCTGTGGTATAAAAGTTGGCTTAGTCTGATGTAAATATTAGTGTTGATGTAGTGTTATTGGGTGTTGTTGTTATTTGTGTTATAATGGTGTTATTTTTTGTGCTATTATGGTTTTAAGCTTGTGTTTGTTTGGTGTTACTCTTGTGTTATTCTGGTGTTACCCTGACATTACTTCAATGTTATGTTGGTACTTGCCTTTGATTTAGTACTGTTATTGTGGTATAATAGTTGGCTTAGTCTGATGTAAATGTTGGTGTTATTATGGTGTTATGTTGATGTTATCATGATGTTATGCAGTTATGTGAGCCAGCACATGTTTGCAATGAACCAATTGCAGAGAAGTTTCTAAGCAGCACTGTCCACAATGAGTAAGAATCATATGAAAGCTATCGTGCCTATGCACATCACGTAGGATTCACTGTTTGGAAGGACCATACTACCTACTGGCCGAACTCCAAGAAACTCAAGGATCAAAAGATTATATTTATGGAAAAGCTGGCTACAATAAAGAGCTTAACAGCATGGTCACAGTTAAGTTCAAAAAAGCAGACATGAGGACTGGTTGTAAGACCATAGTTCGATTTTTTGTTGATCTCGAAGGCAATTGGACAGTGACGAAATTCATTGAAAATCACAATCATCCTTTTGGCTGAAAGTGGTGATAAGCATCTTCTTTGTTCCAGCAGAAGGATAAGTGAGTTGAATGCAGATGTGTTGAGATCAATGACAGGTTCAGGGATCAGAGAAACACATGCATATAATTTCACTGCCACGGAGGTTGGTGATGTGGAGAATTTGGAATGCACTAAGAGAGATGCATTTAATTTCATTCAAAGAGAAAGAAGAAAAAGAATTGAACAGGGAGATGTCAATGCTTTAATACAATTGTTCATGGAGAGGTAAGCAAGAGAGGCAAACTGGGGATAACATATTTTCTTGAGATTTCCAAATAGATGAGTATGGTAGGTTAACAAGAATTTTTTTAGTGATGGGTTATCCAAGCTGGATTATGATTGCATTGGGGATGTGATAATTTTTTATACAAGCTATAAATTAAATAAATATAACTTATGTTGCGCTCCGTTTGTGGGGGTTAACCATCACTGGCAAAACGTATTTTTGGAGTTGGATTTTTGTTTGATGAGACTACTGAATCATTCATGTGGCTATTTAAATTATTCATTCGAATAATGAGAGACAAACATCTCATAACAATCTTTACCAATTAGGATCAAGCAATGACAAAATCCATTGCAGAATGTCTCCCACAAACATGTCACAGATTATGTCAACGGCATATCTACAAGAAACTATCTTCCAAAGTATACTGTGGAGTGCGTGCTAAGAGCGTCTGTGGTCTTCTTTATAAATGCTTGAGTAAGTGTGATTCTGATGAGGAGTTTGAAGAAACTTGTTCTTTAATGATTGAGGCGGGAGAACTACAAAGCAATGTCTAGTTAGATGAAATATACCATATAAGACATAAATGGTCAACAACATTTAATAAGGATATATTCAGTATGAGAATCTTATCAACGCAGAGAAGTGAGTCGACCAATAATATCTGTCATGGTGTTGCAAAGCCTAGTAGCTCTCTCACGGATTATTTTATCGGTCTTGAAACCATAATGAAATCGTGGCGCCGGAACGAGAGAAAGATGAAGATTTGATGAAGATTTCAAATGCGGTCAGTCCGTCACAACGCCCATGGTTAAAATCAATTTTGTGCTGAGGCAAGCTGCCTCATTCTATACAAGGAAGCTTACTCAATGTTTGAACAAGAGCTATTGAACGGCTTATGTGGGCTTACAGCTGAATTATCAGTGGAGAGTGAGGCTAAATATTTGTAATAAGATTGGATGATGAGGGGACAAGGTAACCCTGGACTGTGTTAGTTGACAAAGTTACTTGTGAGGTTACATGTACTTGCAAAAAAATTGAGATGATGGGTCTGTTGTGCTCCCATGCACTATTTGTTCTCGGTGTAGCCAAAACAAAGGTGATTTCGGAGAAGTATTTCTTGTTACGGTGGTCCATCAATGCTAAAAAGAACATGTATCACAAGTTTGGTTGCAGAAATCTAAAAGACTCCATGTTGAATAATATTTCTTCAAGTGCCCTTCTACTCATGTCATGCTCTCAGAAATTTGCATATCAACTCATTTAAAAAAAAATTTAAATGAGGCGTGTTTGTGAGACACGTTTAAAAAATTATCTGAAGATATTGACGATGCACTAGCAGGGAGGACGACCGAAGTAAATAAAAGAAGAAAGAAGAAAAAATTTACAAATATAGAATGCAATGTGAACGACCCTGCAAAAATGAGGCCAAAAGGAGTATCTACATCTAGGTTAAAAGAATATTGGGAGAAAAATAAGAAAGCCAAAAGTACAAATTTGTTGATTTATTATTTCTTTCATTTCATGTATAGTGCATTCTCCTAACTTTAACCATTGCATTCAGGAAAGAAGCAAGAAGCAGCAACTAGCCGTGAAGCTGTTAATGCATTTGAGGAATGTTTGACAGATTGTCTGGCCCAGGTATGTTGCCAAAATTCAGTATCACTTGACTGCCTTTTATATAAAATAATTCACTCATATTGAATTTGGTATTACTCCCCTATTGCAGGAATACTATGCACCGCAACTAACTAAAACATACACTGCATACACTAAACATACACTGGACTGTTGATGGATTCCATAAGTTATAGATTGATTGAAATTGTACATGTTGGTATACTGTAACATCTTTAAACATTGTAAGAAAGAAGTAATTGGTGGTTTATGATATACTCTTTGTTCAAATATTTATGTGTTAAGATTAGTAAAATGTGGATAAATTGATTATCATATAAATATCAACTATATAACACGTGTATAACACGTGGATAACACGTGAATAACACGTGATTAATACATGAATAACACATGTGATTGCATTACTGCTTTACTCCGCTGTGTTACCGCATTATACCGTTGTGTTGCCGTGTTACTCTGTTACTCTGTTGTTTGCGTTACCGATGTACCAATGGAATATTCTGAGTGTATTATTGCGTTACTCCGCTATTTGTGTTACCGCCGATTTAATTGTTGTTACTCCGCAGTTCAATGCGTTACTCCGCGTACTGTGCTGTGTTACGCGACAAATATTCCCTGTGTTACCGCTGATTAAATCGGTGTTACTCCAACGATCGCCGAGTTATTCCGCGGTATGATGTAGTTAATATCGAAATTTTTTTTTATTTTGACGCAAAATTTTTTATCTTTCTGTAAAGTAAATTTTAGAGGAGAAAGAATCCAGGATAAGAAATTTTTTTATATTTATTTAAAATAACATTTTGAAATGTCAAAAACATTTTTTCACAAAAAATTCAAGATAAGATTTTTCTATTAATAGGGATTAATAAAAGCATCAGAAAGATATTATCCTAAAAGTCTAATTTAATTCATAATCCTTGAGGGATATACAAATATACATAGTATCAAATTGTAAGTGTATCAAATATATAATGTACGAAACTATAAAACTGTTTATAACTGAGGACTATAAAAATATATAAAGTATATAGAAGAAAATTTACTATGAAGTCCTCGACAAGATGCAAATGTCATATACAAATTCAGCTCTAATCCTGCCAATCCATATGCTCACTCCAGTGGACTTCTTTGATCTGCACTAATGTTTCCTAGTACTTGCAGAAGAACATGTCGCAATCAAAACTATTCCCTTGAGAGGGTACATTCTTAACAATTGATAGTGACTATTTATGGATTTTAGCTGTAAATACATCGGCGACATCTCTAGCAAACATTTTAACTTGCATAGTTGAAGCAGTATGGTGTTACTTTTCGAGTGTTATTGTGT